TTCGAACATATTAAGAATTGGAGTCCATTTTGGAAGGAAAATTTCACTTAGTTGAATTATAAAGATTAAAACTAAAGAAAAAATTACAATACCTGTAAGTACACTAAGATTAAAATATTAAAAATTCCTTTTTACTAAATGAACCAAGTCTTTCTATTTCATTTGTACATTGTCCTAACCTGTCCAATAAAGGTGTATTAGAAAGAGAAATTTCCTTAAAATAATTTAGAATTGATTTTATGTTAGTTTTAATCACGTGATAAATATTTATATTGCTTTGTGATGTGTTTTTTTTCTATTGGAAAAACTGAGTAATTTTCTTCAACCTGGAGTTCTGCTGTGCCTGGCGATAAATAAATTACCACAAATTATTCTTAATTAAGTGACAAATACTAAGTTTTATTATCAGTAGCTGAGTTTTCCAATTTTAGAAGTTCATTTTAAGTGACTTTTGCATAATATAGTCATCTCTCTACTTTCCAGATAAGATTTCAATAGGTGTTCAGAACAAGGATTTGACCATCTATTTTATTTATACATGGTGAGCAAACATCCAGTTGGGTCCCTAGTAGTTCTACTACTCAGAGAAGTGAAAAGCACTGAAAGCAATCTCACAGAATTGGGAAAATCAACTGTTGATATATGTAATCATGTATGCTATGATATGAAAAGTCCAAAAAATCAGTTACCATTTCCTTATTGTCCTTGAAAAATGATATATTGGACAATCACCACATTTAGTGTTATATACAAAAATATATACTGAATTAGAGAAATCTATCTTTCTTGTAAAGTTAACAACACATTATCAATAACATAGTTTTCTGTCTCATGCTCTCCTTGTCCTAGGAGTCCTGAATCTCCCTTTTAGGTACTTGGCTTCTTATACCATGCTTTAGCTGAAGAATACAAAGATGCTTCTATCTTATTTTAAAACAAATATATAAAAATATTTTTTTGTTTATGTAAGAATATTTTTCTTCCTAATCCATTTGATGGTGACTTTTTATTTTAGCCAGGTTAAACCGGCCTATGGGGAGGTTTTCAAGAAATAGTATGTGGGACTAGGAACTCATATATATACATATATATGTATATATATATATATATATACACATACTAGTATACTTCACTACTGTAAGAAAAGTTAAACACATGCAATTTTTTGAAACATAGATGGAAATAAAATTATCAAGTATATATATATAAAGTATATATATATATATATAATTATCAAGTATATATATATATATAAAATTAAAAGAAAGGGAAAGATAAACAGAATTGTCTCATTTTTATGTGGTATATAAATACATAAATTATATGGTGTACTGTTTGAAAAGATGGGGATGTGTACATCACTTTATTCCCAGAATATATACAGAAGGGTAGAGACGTGAATAAAGCATGGGGAAAAAGAAAAGATAAACTGGAAATAGGGGTAGCGGGGAGTCAAGTGGATTAAAGTACATCGTGTTTTAAAGGAGTGGTATAGGTAAATGTTCAATCCACAGCGTCAACAAAACTAAGCACAAGGTTCAAAATTCTCTAACCCAATTTACAAACGTGCTTTTCAAGATGGCAAGCTGCGAAAATGTGGTGGCTGGGTGGGGTCTGAGAACCCAAGAGAGGGAAGAAGACACTGGTCGTGGAATTGGTACTGGCACATAGTATGTCTTAAACCCAACTATGACTATGAATAACATGGCAAATCCTGACGCATTAATAAAATGATAAAAATAATTATGTGTAGATAGGATAAAGAAAAGAACTACGTGCATTTGCGCTTGAGGTTGGAGACAGGTGAGAGGAGGCAATGAGAAGTGAAGTGGGCAGCGTTCAAAGGGATTCAGGAGCATCAGTGTCATAAAGGAATGAGCTAGCTAAATATTCGAATAAATCACATTAATTGTGATTGATTCAGTCACAGAATCAGAACCTTTGTTAATTATAGACAAGAACTTTGAAAACCAAGTTTACAAAGATCATTATCACCTTGCTACATGCAACTGAAGGGTGGAGAGGAAGCTTACAATTTTTGGTGGATGCAACTGGACAGCAGTGGTAGGATTGATGTGAAAACATTGTATGTCTAAAGATCATCTACAAATATTTTTGTAAATTATAGTACTTGAATAAAATACAATTTGAAAATACATCTTAGGGATAAGAATAAAGACCTATCATTTCTCCTAAGTTATGACAGTCAATGAATTACTTCAATGTATAAAACAATTTATTGATTAAGGCATTTTATAGGTGTCAATTTTAAAATGTAACTGTAACTTATAGTTTACTAAAAGCAAGTAATGCAAGCACGGTTGGATAAAATATTATCTTTGATCAAATTATCTTTGATTAAAATATTATCTTTGATCTTCATATTCTATGTCACTATGAAGATAAAAACTTGTAGACACACACTACAGAAAATATTGGATTAAATTAAATTACTTAAATTTGTGAATACATCTATCAAATTTGGAGGCAGGGAATGGACTCAGTTTCATTCGTTGAGCATAGGGGTCGTACAGTGCTGGATTGAAGTTGGGTACATTATTTTAAGTAACTTTGTAAGTCATACTGTCTAAATGAAATAATTATTTGTTTTTACATTCTAAAATTGACATGTGACAAACCTTCTTCATATCATACTATATATTATTGCATATTTATACAGTTGATTTTCTCAATTTGGTGAGAAAGTTTTCGGAGGTTTTGCCTTCTCTGAGTAGTAAATTGGTGAATCTCTGTGTCACTCCCATTTTGTCATCACTGTCCTTGTTCTTAGCTGACCATCACCCTGGAACGGAGTTCCTGTTTCTCTTGTCTCAGGTGATTATAAAAGGGCACTCTTGGTTAGTCCAGTTCTTAGTGAGGCGACTGACCAAATGCCCGCTCTTTTCATCTGTAAGGGTAAGTGTCCTCAGGTCTTTATTAACTGGTGCTGGGGTAAGAAAAACTACAAATATTTGGCATACCTCAAAGAGTTAATAAAACTTCATAGAGTAAATTATTTTCTCTTTTAAGTTAGCATCTCTCATATATTTTAACACTTATATACTAACTGTATTGTTTGTTTTATAAAAGTAAATAATTATTTTTGATTGTTGAGATATTTTAGATATGTTCAATATGCTATGATGTGAGTTACCAATCAAAGACAGAAAATTGTATTTAAGTATATTTGATAAATCAGAAAGATTTTTTTAATTTGAAAGAAAACAATTTAAATTTTAAGTTTTGATGGTATTCTTTTTCACTGAATCATTAACTAAGATGAAAGAGACAACCCAATGAAGGCTTCAAGTAGTCTGATCTGCTGATAAGGTCATGACACTTGAAGAATCCTTCATGTAGATTTGCTATCAATGGGTCTGGTATGGAAATATATGATATTTCTGAGGCACAGTTCAATCACTGTTCTGAATCTAGTACAGTGGGATTTCATATTGTTTCATTTCTGTCTGAATGCTTTTTTAATGTCTCATACAGCTGTTAATTTAAAAAAATCTCTAGAAAATACTTTATCCTAGTAGGACTATGGATATTCAACAATCTTGGTTATCCATCTCTCAATTTTTTCATTCTGGGTATTTACTATGTTCCAGGCATGAAGGAAAAGTGAATTTTATTTCACCCTCTTATGTACTCTGATTTAAGTTAATGAGCACAGAGAGGAATAGAGTTATATTAAGTTAAATTCATAATCTTTATTAGGTTTCTATGTCAAAGGAACCTGTTTTGTTTTGGGGTAATACCAAACAGTATTCTTCAATTCATTCTCCTGACTTTGCACTCTGGAATAATTTCTGTTGGTCTCAGTGTTGCTAATACTCATCTGAGAACAGATCCTCGGTTTTCCACAATGCAATGCAAAAGGATCTTATCATATGTGGTCTTTCTCATGCTTCATAAAGTAGACTTTTTAAACAATTTAACTTAAAAGTATGTACTAGGTACATAAATGAACATATATGTCTAAGTGTACATAGATATATGTGATAAATTGTAGGTATATAAGACCAAAGACCATAAGAGGCTGAAGCTTCTAGGGAAAATAAAATGAATAAAAATCAACAGAAAAGCAATGAGGAAAGATAATGGAAGAGATGTTTGTTTGTTCAAGTCATTTTGGTTTCAAATTTCAGACCAATTATAAGTTGCTCTCCATCTTTTTCATAGACTCTCTTCTATCACAACATAGGTAGAAATGGGGGCCTTAATTATTCTCAATGTAAAAACTCAATATATAAGGATAGCAATTTCAGAGCACCTTCATATGCATTTTTCACAGATTTTTTCAAATTTATATTGCTTTACTTAAATGTTACAGCAGATATATGATATTGTCAATTTATTGTCCAAATACTATAGTAACTTAACATCCACAACAAATAAATTGTGAAATTATTACATAGTTTGAGGAACTCAATTTTCACCTTATATTGAGGAAGCAATGTGCAATCTGCTGGTGTTAAAAATTAGTGATCTTAGTAGTTAATTTAATTCTGGATACTACATTCAGTAGCCATCAGACAGATACGAATATTATTTTGATTACTTAACATATGTTAAAAAGACATTTAATAATCATTCTAGGCCTTAATTAGTAATATCTTCTCTGTGGATATAAATCTAACTGTATAAAGACAAATGTTCATATAGAAAATGACTTGAATTATTTTAGAGTTACAGTACATACTGTGTATAAATGAACATCAGAAGAGCATTTAATCTACAAATGTTTCATCAAAGTCATAATTATTGATCTTCAAAGTATGATAAGATTTACAATGTATAATACATATAAGAAGGCTTAATACGTATTTTTTCTAGATATATTTGAAAAACATCACTGAAATATGAGAAAAGAAGAAATATAATAAATTGAACCACAGTTATCATCATCTTTTTCTGTTACTATCTCACATCAAATATCGAATATATCAAATAATTAATCACAAAATAGGTCACATTTTTTATTATTATGTTTCGTCATGAAACTACTAGAGGTCAAATGCATCATCCATTGCAGCTCTGTTGGGTTCAACAGATTATTTCTGGCAATGCTCACCTTCCTTATGTTTCCAATTTACTTGACGATGACTTATTCTGCATCGCCTATTATTCCAAACACTACTTACATCCTTGCATGGAATGTTCCAACTGAAAAATGTCCTAAGGCATATAATGTGACAATAAATCTGAGCATCTACTCATTTGTAGGATATCCTACCAAAAATACCACTGGACAAAATGTTACATTGTTTTATGTGGATAGACTTGGTCTATATCCTCACATAAATAGGAGAACTAATGAAGATGTGAACGGAGGTATTCCCCAGTGTGGAAATCTAACAGTTCACTTGGAAGAAGCCAGTAAAAACATTGAAAAATATATAAAAAACGATTCTGTAGGCTTGGCTGTTATTGACTGGGAGGACTGGAGACCCCTCTGGGATAGAAATTGGGGTTCAAAACATATTTACAGGAACAAATCTATTGAGGTGGTTAGGAAAAATAATAAAAGTCTTGATGACCTTGCGATTAATAGGACAGCGAAAACAGAATTTGAAAAGGCAGCAATGGATTTTATGCTAGAAACATTAAAAGTGGGCAAATTCTTAAGACCAAAGAACTATTGGGGTTTTTACCTTTTCCCTGATTGTTACAATCATCGGTATACGAAAAGAGAATATAATGGAAGTTGCTTTGACATAGAGAAAGCAAGAAATGATCGACTCGACTGGTTGTGGAATGAAAGCACTGCTCTTTACCCATCCATTTACTTGACTAAAAACTTAAGTTCAAATACACGGGCGGCGCTCTTTGCCAGAAATCGGGTCCAGGAAGCCATTCGGGTATCTACAAAGCGAGGTGTTGAAAATCCACTTCCGGTTTTTGTGTATGTCCGTCCAGATTTTACAGATGCTCCTGGAGATTTTCTTTCTGAGGTAAGAAAATCAAGCAAATAAAGGGCCATGGCTTTGTATTCAGGCTGTTATTCAGTAGAATTGAACATCATTTATGTAGTGAATAAAAGTTACATTTTAGTACACTTGAGGTGGAACCAGTTCACCACATAATGATAGGAGTGTAAAATTAGAATATATTTGAATTCTAATTCAATCCTATGAAGCTTCCAACGAGAATGAGGTATTGTTGATAAAAGGTAAAGGTAAAGGTAAAGGCCCTCCCGTTGATCCTCTATTTGCTCCAGTGGGCCCAGTAACGTCTCCATTGGAGACTTTGTTGTTACTGTGTTTGGCATATCAAATACTCTTGGTAGCTTGCCGGGCTCTCCGAGAGGGGCGGAGGAATCGAACTCGGGTCGGCCATGTTGGCCGCTTGTAAGGCGAACGCCCTACCGCTGTGCTATCATAATGCTGAAATTTATTTTAGTTTTGAATTCCTCTTTTTTATAGGTGGTCTTCCCTCTCTCCCTCCCTCCCTCCCTTCCTCCTTTCCTCCCTCCCTTCCTCCCTTCCTCCCTTCCTTCCTTCCCTCACTCCCTCCCTCCCTCCTCCCTTCCCTCACTCCCTCCCTCCCTCCTCCCTTCCTTCCTTCTTTCCCTCCCTCCCTCCCTCCCTCCCTTCCTTCCTTCCTTCCTTCCTTCCTTCCTTCCTTCCTTCCTTCCTTTCTTACCTCCCTTTTTTATTCTTTCATAGTTTTTGTCCTTTCTTCCAATTATCTTGCCACAGACAGCCTAAAAATGCTCAGGGGTATGAGGTACAGAGATCTAGATATGAGGTACAGAGATCTAAGGTATGTCCGATCTCGCCAAACAAGTGCCTTACCTATTCACTGTGCAATCTATCTCTGTTTCTTCTTTTTTTGACAATAGATCAATGAACATCATGAAAAGATTTTTGTTTTATGAAGTCAGTATCTTTTAAAAGATAAAATCAAGTTAGAAGAAAAGATTTAAATTGTATTTGTAGAGTATGCTGTTTAATTTTGGTTTGCTGTACTACGTGTAAAATTTTAGTTTTGTTCCAATTGATTTAACACTTTTCTATCATATTTGACAGTTTGATCTTGTGAATACTATTGGTGAGAGTATTGCTCTAGGAGCCTCTGGAATTATACTATGGGGAAGCGTCAATTACAGTGTAAGTGAGGTAAGTCTAACTGTAGGCAATGGGCACAACTATTCTCAATTTTAATGTTTTCTTTGATTCTAAGGAATAAAAATGTTGCGTTGATCCTCACACATCAGAGCTGTTCAATGTGTTTTATGGAATCCGATAATCTAGCATTTATTTATTTCTATTAGAGGCAGGATGTATTTTCTTTCCTTCGAGTCTGGAAGTAAATAATTTGATTCTGGACTTTATTTTGGAACTGATATTTCCCAGACTTGATTCCTACTGGGCAGCAAAATCATTACTACCATCTCAAAAATCTTGCATTCTGTTGAGTAATTTTAAATGAAATCTTCTGTTTCTAGTCTTCTGTTTCTACTCTACAAGACACAGGATGACATGCACTTGTTAGTTTATGATATAGTATTATATTATTCTTAAGTGAGCATGCATATAGTCATTGAACAAAGTTATTGTAAAGGTCATCAAACAATGTTCTTGGGTAAAATTGAGCCTTAGTTGTTTCTTTGTACAACTTTTAGCCTCAAATTACTTTGTTTTTTAAAATTCATTAGAAAATCCAAGAGTGATAGACTTCTGGTTTTTTTGACCCCCTTTTGTCACACACAGTGTACGTACTCAGTATGCGTGGAGGGATCACTCCCAATGGCTCAAAGGTCCATTTGTGTATCAAGAATTGAAGAGTCATCAGCATGTAAGACAAGCATATTATAGAGAGTACTACCTCTCTAGCCCAAGAGTAAAAGAATTCTGTAACATAACAAAAACATAATGTTTGGGATAAATATGTAGTAAAGCATGTAGTAAAACTTTTGCCTTGTACATGGCCAACCCTGGTTTGAAACCTGGTATCCCATATGGTTTCCCCAGCAGTGCAGGTCTAATTCCTACATTCAGAGACAGGAGTAACCCCTGAGCATTGCCAGGTGACCCAAAACTTTTAAAAAATGCAAAAGTACAAAAATATAATGTAAATTGAAATGTTGTTTTTATAAGTGTTTTTGGAACATAAAGGGTTTATTTTAATTTTAATTAGACCTGAAAGAATAATACAAGGGTAATTAGTTTTCAAAATCATTGAAAATGTTAAAAACATACCTGGGGACACGACTAGAAATCTATTTTTCCTATGTATTAGAATTAGTTGAAACTTTAGACTCACTGCGAATATACTGTTGTCATAGGGGACACAGATTTTTTGGAGGTGAAATTTTCCTTTATTGATAGAAGTGGACATAATGGTGATGTATGTGTCATGGAGAAAGTCTTATGGTATCAAGAGCCAGGATCTTTTTTCAGGAAATGTAAAGAACAAAATTGATCATGTAAGATGTAAAGAACTTTTTGGTCTTTTGTGTCCATAGATAAAATAGTCAAAATACCACTTTTTAAATGATAGAAATATTAGGTAAGCTTCAATGTGAAACTTTGCCTCTGTTTGTTTTGGGGTTACTCTTAACTATGCTGAGAGGTTCTTTCTGACTCTGTTCTCAAGATTCATTCTTTTTTATTTTTTTTGCTTTTTGGGTCACACCCGGCGATGCTCAGGGGTTACTCCTGGTTCATGCACTCAGGAATTGCTCCTGGCGGTGCTCGGGGGACCATATGGGATGCTGGAAATCGAACCTGTGTTGGCCATGTTGGCTGCATGCAAGGCAAACGCCCTACCCGCTGTGCTATTGCTCCAGCCCCAAGATTCATTCTTGATGATACTTGAGACTATAGGTGTTGCCATGGATAGAAGTGGGTTTGACTTTATTTAAGGCAGTTTCTTAAATTCTATACTACTTCTTGGTTCCTCATTTTGCAATCTTAGAAAGATAATTTCAATACTTTCCACTACTTTGCATACTTATATTTCTCAGGTGTGAACAGTGCCTAAAGAAATAAAGGAAAAAAATCACTGAAAGAACGTGATTCTGTTAAACACTTTGCAGAATATTTTATATGTCATATAACCAACTAAAATATATAACTATTTAATAAATAGTTGAAAGCATCACTCATGTTTTCTGAAACATGGTCAGGCAGTGCTTGGGTTCATGTACAGTACAGGGCATCAAATATCTATCAGTTGGGAACAAGGCAAGCACCATACCTGCTGTACTCTCTCTCCTGTAGATGAAGCCAACTTTTTCTCACTCCGATTCAGGCATCATAAATCAATCGTTAGATCAACCAAGATTAAAATATATTGAACCTCAATCATGTAATTATTCAGTGGTTTGAAATGGCAGTTAAATTGCTTAAAATTGCTCTTGAAAACCTTTAAAATAATTTTATTGGTAAGAATGAAAGGAAAAAGTATTTTCTCCCTTGCTGAATTTCATTTGTTGTTGCTCTTTTTGTTGTTATTTTTTTTTAAAAAATGATTCATTTATTTTGTTTTTTCTGTCATACTCAGTGATGCTCAAGAGTTACTCCTGACTCAAAACTCTGGAATTATACCAAGAAGTGTTCAGGGGACGATATAGGATGCTGTATATTGAATCGGGTCAGCTGCCTGCAAGGCAAATGCCCTACCAGTTGTACTGTTGCTCAGACCCTCTTTTTGTTGTCTTGTATAGAAAATGCTTCACATAGTGAATCCATTCTTATATATGTTACCTTGTCCTCTTATACTCTTAACTTTTTATTTACAGGATTCATGCAACAATCTAACCAATTACCTGAACAAAGTCCTAAATCCTTACTTACTGAATGTTACCCAAGCAGCCGAAAGGTGTAGCCAAGTGCTCTGTAAAGGGCAAGGAATATGTAAAAGGAAACATTGGAACTCAACTGACTATCTTCACCTGAAAGAAGAAACATTTAGGATTGTAAATGGGGACATTAAAGAGTCCAAAGTGAATGAGAATTTCACAAACCTAAATGTGGAAGAATTTGCTACAAAATTTGAGTGCAGCTGTTATTCCAATATGGATTGTAATCAGACAAATTTTTAGCTAAACAGTAACTACGTTAATGTATATAATCCTAATGTTTGCACATCATCCTCTCTAGACTCATTTGACTAAGATCCTATACTTATTGGGAAAAAAGACAACTTCTGACTTTTTAGCAATATCTCATTTTACGTACTATCTGCAATGTTGACTTATATATTTTTTTTCTAAGTAAGGTGTCTTTGGTTTCCTTAGAGTGAATATTCAGTAGAAGTCATCTCCAACAGCCTCCAATAAGGGCTTCAGAGTGTTAACCAGTAAAACACTAGCAATCATTTATTCAGTGAATGCAATATAAATGAAATCATGTGTGTATGAATGAATCATAAATGAAATGATTTATGATAAATGAGTCTTGAAAAATTATGATTAATTTATACTAAATATATTTATGATAAATGAAATCATAAATTCAAATAATTATGTTTTCAACACTAATTGTTTTCGAGGAGGCACAACTGAAGTTCGTCAGGGTTTACTCCTGGCTCTGTGATCAGAGAACATTCCTGTGTGTGTTTCTGGGGAGCCATTGGTAGTACTGGGATTTAGACCCAAGTTGACTGCACGCAAGGCAAGTGCTAAACCTATGTAATAAATCTCTGGGCCCGTTCTACTAATTCATTTTACTATCTAAATCAGGTTTTGATATTATTTACATTTTTACACATAACTTTAGCAAAGCAATATTTAACTATGCTTTGCTAGTTTACATAAAAATACTTATCATTGAAGTTTACATTTCTTTGTGAATATAAACTAACCTGTTCCAAACTATAATTTGATTTAAAAATCAAACCAAATCAAACCAAGCAAAAAATATCTCTTTGTGACATTAGTGGAGGGAAGTGGATACTAGTGAAGTGATTGGTGTTGGAACATTGTATATCTGAAATCCAATCATGAATAACTTTGCAAGTCACAGTGACTAAATAAAAAAAAATGAAAAAGATTGGTTTTTAATCTTAAAATTAGCTTTGAATTGTTACTGATTGATAAAGGATTTTTTCAAAATCATATTAAGGGTACTTTTATAGTATATAATCTACATTTTTATAGTAGTGGCAGGCTGAAAGACCAAAATTAGAAATTCATGGCATTTTTCTATGTGTATAATGAATATAAGAGTGACAAAAATAAAGAAAATAATTCCATTCACAGTCCACCTCAAGAAAATTAAGAACCATGAAAATAGGTAAATAAAAGAAAGAAAAGACTGATACAATAAAAACCATATCACTGCTAAAACATTTAAGATGGACAAGAAATGAAACATATACCCTGTTCTGTATCAGAAAGATTTAAACTGTCCAAAGATCCATCCTCTCCACAGCATTATAAAGATTCAATGTAGTTCTATAAAAATATTCGTCACCTTTTCTAAGAGACATAGACAAAGTCCCATTAAAATTTATACAGGGCAATAAGATATGAATTTGTTTATTCCCCCCAACTTTAAATCATATTACAAAATGATTGCAATGAAAACTCATGATACAGTGATAAGGATAGACTGAGAACAATACAGTAAAATTAAGAGTTCAAAGAAATTTACTCTTGAATATATCTGATCATGGAATGTTTTGAAAGAATATAGGTTCATTATGTGGGTAAAGGCTAACCTCTTTGACAAATGAGGTGTTGGTAAAACAGGTCAACGATATTGAAAAAAATTAACTCAGACCACAATCTAACTCTTAAAGAGTCAGGACTGATACCCATGCTGCCAGACCTCATGTCAAGCTGTTTCACTCAGGGCACCCCAGAGGAGCCTGGTTGAGACCACATCCGTCCCAAGAGACCAAATCTGCTAGAACTCAACCACTGCCCTACTCACAGCTGCTCTCCACATGTTCCAGCCAAACCTCACCCCCAAGTGAATACCCCAGAAAACACATGTATGCAGGCCTTTGTGACAGAGAATTCTGGGTTCAACAGTAACTGGAAACTGAACATATATAACCCCTGCCCATATCCCCCATCTCTGCTGATTGAGGAGTCACACCCATAAGCCAACCCTGATTTATGCCAGATAATCTAACCATTGGCCTCCATGAAGATCACACACCCTTCTCTTTCAGAAGAGACCAACATGATGCCCTTCAAAGCCATGCCACGAAACCCTTCACTAGGCTGCTTCACTTCAGGCACTCCAGAGTAGGGCCGGTGACACCCCTCCCCACACCAAGGGATGTAGCCCCAGTAGTTGAAAGCCCCCCAAACCCAAACATTGCCAGGATCTGGGCCACTCTTCACATACTCAGGACGAGTTTCAGCCACGAGTGAAAATTCCCTGGACATTCATAGGACTCACCCTCCCCATAGTACAAAAATACCGCAACGCATTTGATGGGATTCAAAGTAGGAGGCACCCAACCTTACAGGAAAATATTATATTATTTTGGTTCTGCTTTGGGGCAGGGCTTGGGAAATGGGATGAAATCACCTAAAATATGGTGGTGGAAAGTGTAATGGTGGTGAGATTGGTGCTTGAATATTAAATGTCATCAAATACTGTGAACTACTTTATAAAATAAACAATTAAAAAAAAGAGTTCAACTTGGTATTAGGAACCAAACAAAGAAATCACTGTATCACTGTCATTCTGTTGTTCTTGATTTACTCGAGCGGGTGCCAGTAACATCTCTATTACCCTCATCCCTGAGATTTTAGCAGCCTCTTCTTACTTGTCTTTTCCCAACAATTGGAGGATCTTTCAGGGTCAGGGGAATGACATCTGTTGTCATTATTGATTTGGCGTATCAAATACTCCACGGGGAGCTTGACAGGCTCTGCCCCTGTGGGCAGATACTCTCAGTAGCTTGCCATGCTCTCTGAGAGGTATATATTTATATATTTCTCTCTGTGATTTGTTGACTACTGTCTAAGCAGCATCAAATTCAGTGTGGCAAAAATGGAAAAAATGTGAAAACTGTCCTATAGTGTGTCTCCCAACCACAAAGCTGCCTTGCGGTCTGGAAAGCATCCTGGAGCATGGAGGTGGTTGGGTAGTGGAGGTCGGCTGCCTGGGCTGGGTCCGTTGGGGCAGGGAGGGCCTCATCGACCCCACTCTGAGATGCCACAAGTTAAAACAGCCGGACGTGGAGTCGTGGAGTCTAATGGCATGGCCATGAGGGCCTTATTTTATACTCCTGTCTGAGATAAACAGCTATGATTCTTGAGGGTGGCCAATTGTAGGATAACACTGTTTTGTCTTTTCTGCATAGCCTCAGGTAGTTTAGGTTTATTGGGTTGCTCCCATCACAGTGCTCCCATTTCTCTGTGTTTATTTGTAAATTCTTTCTTTTTGCTCTGTTGACTTGTAAATATTGGTTTTCTCTTCTCCCTAAGTCCTTTGCATAGTTGATTCAGAGCAATGTCCTTTTTGTATGGACACAAGAAGACGGTATATTCTTTGCTTTTGTATTGTGACTCTCAGTGATATTTGCCTCCTAGGCGTCTGTTCTCTCACCTAAGCCTCAGCTGCCTTTACTTCCTAGAGCTCCCCAAAGCAGGGTCCTGACAAGGAACTGGATGGAACCACAGCAAGCCATAAGCGATGTGCCACCCTGGCATCAAGATGTGCCTGGCTAAAGCGCCATAATGTTTAACTATAAGTTAAGAGGTTGGTCATGGACAAATGCTGCCATGATCAAAAAAAGTAATAACTAGATTTTGACCCTGCCAGGGTTAGGAATAGTTAATCTGGCCTGAGCACTGTAGTCTGAGTCTGTTGCAACATGTTCCCAGGAGAGCTGCCCTACAAGCCTCAATGATTTTCTACTACTGTGTCCATACAGAAACAACTAGTATGAAGATGTTGATCGAGTTATTGGACTAAGGAAAAGAGAAAAACACCTTAAGGGGTATTTTGCCCTTGGGCAGTCAGGCAGGGCTTTGGAATACCTTTTATGTGATGTTCCCTTTGAACCTGGTGGGTCATCAGGAAGGGCTTTCTTATATTGATTTTGCTACATGACTGGGTGCTAGGGAATTGGGAAGGCAAGAGATTTGGAGAATGAGAGAGAGCAGGGCAGTAAGATGAACTAAGGAGAGACTAGAACTTCATTGAATCTGTATAATGCTGTGGATAGGATGGCCCTTTGGACAGTATAAATCCTTCTTATATAGAACAGGTTATATGTCTCCATTTCTTGTGTCTTCTTAATTTTTTTAGCTGTGATTTTTTTTTGTTTGAGTCTTTTTTCTCTTTTTTTCAGATGATTCATGGTGCTTCATTTTCTTGAGATACACTGTGAATGGAATAATTTTCTTTATTTTTTCACTCTTTTTTAAAAATCTTTTATTAGTGACAAACCAAGAGGTACAGTTCTAGAGTTAGAAATTTTTGATATTGCGTTTGAACTATACAATGATTAAATACCCATCCCTCCACCAGTGCCCATTTTCATCACCATGGATCCCAGTATCCCTCCCATCCCCCATCCCCTCCATTCCACCCTGCCTCTGTGGTAAGGGATTCCCTTTTGTTCTCTATCTCCTATCGGATGTTGTGGTTTGCAAAAGAAGCAATGAGTGGCAATCATGTTTGGTCTATAGTCTACTTTCAGCATGCTTCTCCCATCTTGGAACGATCCTCCCAACACTCTTTATTTGGCGCTCCCTTCTCTATCTGCACTGCCTTTTCCTCTAGCATTCGTAGCTGACCTTCAAGAAATGGAGGAAACCTCCTAGTACTTATATCGGCTATTTTTGGGTTTTAGTCTCCTATATTGTTACGTTATGTTACCCAGATGAATGCAATTTTTCTATGTCTATCCCTCTCTTTCTGACTCATTTCTCTTAGCATGATACTTTCCATGTAGTACCACTTGTATGTAAATTTCATGACTTCATCTTTTCTAACAGCTACATAGTACTCCATTGTGTAGATGTATCAAAATTTCTTTAACCAGTCATCTGTCCTCGGGTACTCAGGTTTTTTCCAGATTATGGTTATTGTAAAGAGTGATGCAATGAACAAACAAGTGCAGATGTCACTT